TTACTTCTTAACCACAACAGCTCAGTTATGTATTTGCTTTGTTTTAATACAGAACATTTATAGCTTAGCATGCAGTGTTATATTTTTCTTACACACTACTGCTTTTGACAGTAGAAATCCTGAGTAGCAGTTAACAGCTGTTTGCAGCTCCAGGCCGGGGCCACAGCCCAGCAGCACAGCACCTGCCTGGCAAACTCCAGGTCCTAACTTTGATTCCTGGTACCCTCAGAAAGAGCACAGAAGTTGTTGGCAGCTCTTCATTTGTTGTATATTAATTTGTCTTACAATTCTTGAAGGATATACAGTCAAAATATTCTGTAGCCATTTGAAGTAATTATTTTCTATAGTTCTATACGAAGTGACATAACAGTTAATATATCTGTTTTTAAATTTTCGTGGCTGCATTTCTAGATTTAATGTTTTGAAAATGTGAAACATTCAGTATTACAAAGCCACATAGCTGGACATAGGCAGAGAAGTATCACTTCCATCAGCTCCCTTTCTAAGTAACCACATCTTTTTCTGCCCTTACAGATAGCCATTTCTATTAGTTCTTATTCTTCCAGTGTTTTTAAATAAAAGCAAAATATGTATAAATTCATATTTTCCTCCCTTCTTACAAGGAAGTTAGCAAGCTATACTAATTGTGTACGCCTTTTTTTTTTTTTTTTTTTTTTTTTTAGGGAAAGGTCTGCAGGGTGATCAGGGTCTCACTATTAGATTGGACTTGTAGTGAACCGCCTGTTTACAGCCTCTCAAGAGCTGGGATTACAGGTGCATGACCACACCCAGTCTCTATTGCTGTCTCAGTGTGCCCCTGGGGTGGGGATCGAACCCCTGGCCCATGTGCCTGCTTGCAGGCGCTTTAATCCACTGAGCTATTTGGCTGGCCCTGTTCTGTACACTTCTGTAGGTTTAACTTGGGAGATCATTTCATGTATAAATGTAGTGATTAACTTTGGTCTTTGCTATTGTGTGGTATTTCATGGCGTGAATCAGTTTTTTTAAAAAATTTTATTTATGTGTGTGTGTGTGTGTGTGTATGTGGCCAGCTCAGCCCACCAGGGGGCGGGGCTGGCTGGCATGTGGTGCTGGGGGATTGAACCTCAGTCGCTGTGCTTTGCTAAGCTTGTTCTAATTAGGTGCTTTAGACCACTGAGCCATCTCACCAGCCCCATGAATCAGTTTTTATTTAAGAAGTCCTCTGTTTTTGGACATTGCTCTTCTGATCTTTTATCATTATAAATATTGCTTCAATATAGCTAATAATTTAGTATTTTTGCTAGTACACGGGCTTGCTAAATTGAAAATGAATCCATGTGTGATTTTTCTGGAAATTATCAATTCCCTTCCACCCGCCTTTGGTCATCTCCCATCCCCACAGCAAAGGTGGGGCTATCTGTTAATGGCCTGTCCCTCCACTTGAGTGCATTGTGGATTTCGGCCATCCTAACAGCCAAGAAGTGTTTTTTTCTAAGTTTAATTTTGCATATTTCTTAGTTTAAATTAAGTGAAAACACTTCCTTAAATTTAAAGGCCACCTTCATTTCATTTATGATTATTCTTCCTGTAGTCTGTCAGATTGTCGGAAGTTTTCCTCCCTCAGAAAACATTTCTTGCCCCCGGTGATGGCTCAGTAGAATAAGCGCTTCCCTGACAAGCGCAAGCGCATGAGTTCAATCCTCGGTTCTGAAAAAAAAAAAAAAAAAAAAAAAAAAAAACACCCTAGGATTTGCAGTCCCATTCACCCAGCTATTCCCCTTCTGGGTATTGTCTCAAAAGAATTAAAAATATCGTATCACAGTAATATGTGTGCACCCATGTTTATAGAAGCCCAGTATTTAACTAAGTCTTGGAGACAACCCAAATGCACATGCACTGAAGAATGGACAAAAAAGATGTAGAATTTTTAGTATGATAGAGTACTACTCAGGTATAAAGAAAAAGAAAACTCTAGGCTTTTATAGGTACATGGATGCAACTAAAGATCATACTCCTAAGTGAAATAAATCAGACTTGCCTACGTAAAAATCATATTGTATCCAGAGTCTAAGAAACTGAAAGAGTAAATAAGATCCAAAACGCACAAGGACATTGCGAAAAGGAAAGAAACTGCTCAAATGGAAAGAACAACTGGGATGTGGGAAAGGAGAAAGAAGGAAGGGAAAAGAAAAAAAAACAATATACACACACAAAATATCAAAGATAATTATACTAATTTCTATTAGCTCACTGAAGAGAATGGTTTGTGTGTATATTGTTGATCAATTCTGCATGCCTGTAACTTGAACTCAGCAACTACTTTGAAGATAACAATATGGAATATAATAACCATTGTTAATATCTTATTATCTTGTTTAGAAATTCTGTATCATTTCTATTCTTTTTAAAATAAAAAATATTGGGGGCCGGGGAGATGGCTCAGTAGAATAAGTGCTTCCCTGGCAAGCGCAAGGGCCTGAGTTCAATTCCCAGTTCCACAAAAAAAATAAAATAAAATAAATAAAAAAAATAAAAAATAAAAAATATCTACATATACGACATACACTCACAGGAACACACACAAAGACACTAAATGTAACCATGAAATCAAGTGAATTTTAATTTTACATTATCCCAATTCTAAAAACAAGAAAAGAAAACTTGTGAGAAACAAGTACTAAAGCAATTACCAAGTCTGTCAGAAAGACTCTTCTCCAGCTTCTCCCACGATGATGTCTGCGACCCCAGGGTTGCTTGTAAATTTTCTATTTGTCTAAGCAAAGGTCTTGTTGTTGAGGAAACATTTTGACTCAGTTCTTGATTTCGATTCTCTGCTTCCTGGAGTCTCTGAATCAACAAACTCTCAAGTCACTACCATAGACAGCAATAAAATTTCTGAAAATACTAGTGCTAAAGTTTATCTGAGATTTCTGGGAAACTTTATTATTTCAAGAGAAAATTACTTGTCTTTTATGAAATTTTTTTATTGAATTCTTCTAGTATAAAAAGTTGCACAGTTTATCAAATTAAGTACTTTCACACAGTATTTCTAAGCTAATCTATGGTTATCTGAAGGTGAAAAACGAAAGAATTCATTCAAGCGTCTTAGTAGTTACTTTCTTATCCAAAGTTCTGTTTGTTTTTTGTTTTTTTAGATAGGGTCTTGCTATGTAGTTCAAGCTAGTCTTGAACTCACTATCTAGCCTAGGAAAGCCTCAAACTTGCTGAGATCCTCCTGCCTCAACCTTCCATGCCCTAGGATTATAGGCATGCATCACCCATGCCCAGCTCCAAATATTTTTAAGTATTTATAAAAACAGAAAGATCTGTGTAATTTGTATTTCCTTGCTTTTTCAATGCATGTTTACTGACTAAAGAGTAATAGAGTACAGTCACAGAAATCAAGCACTAATTATCTGTCCTACAATACTCTTAAGACTGATAATCACTAATAAACTGGGAAGGAGATAGCTCGGGTCTAAGCGGCTGCATAGGTAAGTGCAAGGACCCAGGTTCGATCCCTGGTACCACAGTGCCAACCCCATCCCGGGTGTGCTGAGCCAGCCACCAAGTCTGGGTGTGGTGGCACACACCTGTAATCCCAGTACTGGGGAGGTTGAAAACAGGAGGATCACTATGAGTCCAAACTGTATAGTAAGACTCTGTACCAAACACATTAAAAAAAAAAACAAACACTAATACACCAGCTATTATAAATCAAAAAACAATACAAAAAGCTCAGTGTACAGAATGCATGATGCCCTAGACGTAATCCCCAGTAGCACAAAACAAAACTAAGTATAAAAGAATTCTATAGTGCCAAAATTGTTACTTTTAAAATAAAATTAAGGGTTTTCCTGTATACATTCTGAGAGTGCTCACTGTGGTTAGCAATGAGTGCCAACGAGAGAGCTCAGTGGACTAAGCGTCTGCTTAGGCAAGCGCACAGACCTAGGATCAGTCCTGACACAACATGCCACACCAGCCTGGCCCTGGGTATGCTGAGATGTTTACCGAGACTGGGCGTGGTGGTGCACACCTATAATCCCAGCATGGGGAGGGCTGAAAACAGGAGGATAACTATGAGTCCAAGCCTCACAATGAAACCCTGTAGCAAATACTAAATAAAGTTATAAGCTATCCCAGTGACGGAGTCATTCTTTAATTTCTAGGAAAACACAGTTTTTGATTGTATTTAGGAAAACTGTGGCAATACCTGCTGAAGCTCACTGATCTCATGTCGTAAATAATCTTCTCTTCTGGCAGCGGCTTGTTCTGCACGTTGTAGTGCTATTCTAAGGTCCCCTACCTGGAGGAAAAGCAATATACTATCACAATGTCGAAGTACTATTGATAACTCCCTGTGATGACACAACTTGTGTTATGCTGACCTACTGTTCATATATGAAATATTACTCAACAAGCTTTTATATAATTATCACATATCCCATCTACCAAGTAAATCTAAAATGATACAGATATTTCTAATCTACTTTTAAAAGTGCTCTTAGTTAAGGAACAGATGAAATGTTGTCTCTAGAGCAGTGCTGTGTAGATAATATATCCATAATTGCTTATCACATAAAGCAGACTATGACAGCAAGTAGGTGAGCTATAAAATCTAGGTGCTATTTCCTAGCATAGCAAGGCTACAAATGGTTTAATCACTATCATCAAACAAACAAATGAACAAAACAACCACACACAAAAACTGGTGCTAGCAGGACAGTGCTGTGTGCCACTACTCCAACCTTCTTCTGAGGCTGAGACAGCACTGCTTACACCCAGAAGGCTGTGGCCAGGCTGAGCAACATAATGAGACCCTGTCTCACAACAATAACAAGTACAAAAACTAAATGCTATAGTCATACATAGCTGCACACACTCAAACTGCCACTGATTTTCCAGAAAAAATACAGGAACATATTTGAAGAATTAATCAAGTTGTTCATGTTCTTTTGTCTGATCATTCTATTCCTACACATTATTTATTTGTTTGTTTTCCTACAAATTTATAGAAGCAGATATATGTAACTGTACAAAGATAATCTCTACAATATCACTTAGGCTACTACCCCCCAAAAAGAAGAGGGCTGACCAGATACCTCAGTAGACTAAAGCGCTTCCTTAGGCAGAGCACAGCAGCCAGGTTTCAATCCCCTACATGCTGAGAGAGGGATTGAGACTGGGCGTGGTAGCACACGCCTGTAATGCCAGCGCTTGAGGGGCTGAAAACAGGAGGATCACTATGAGTCTGATCTGTATAATGAGACCCTGTAGACTCTACTAAATACAAAAAAAGAAAGAGAAATGAACAGAACAGGAAAAAGAAAACAAAACAAAACAAAAAAAACTTGGCTGGGCATGGTGGCACATGCCTGCAATTTCAGCTCTTGGTAGGCTGAGGAAGGATTGTGAGGCTGGGCTACATACTGAATTTAAAACCAGCCTGGACAATATAAAGCGATCGTATCTCAAAACAAAATAATAGTCTCCTAGCAACAAGCTGCTTTGGAAAGGCACGCACTGAGTTGATACTTGTCAAGAAACTAAGATTGTACCTAGGAAGGCCAAAATGGAGCTATCAATGCCCCCTCCTCAGATTTATGTAGAAAAAACTCTGGCCATTATCAAACCCAACATTGTTGACAAAGAGGAGGAGATCCAAGATATTATTCTCAGATCAGGGTTCACCACTGTTCAGAGAAGAAAACTACATCTCAGCCCGAAGCACTGAATAACTTTTATGTGAACAGTATGGGAAAATATTTTCCCCAAATTTAACAGCTCACATGAGTTCTGGACCACTGGTTGCCATATTAGCTAGACACAACACCATCTCTTACTGGAAAGAACTTTTGGGACCAAGTAATAGTTTGGTACCTAAGGAGACACACCCAGACAGCATGACCTAAGGAACATGCTGCATGGGAGTAAGGACTTTGCTGCAGCAGAAAGGGAAATTCGTTTCATGTTTCCGAAAGCAAGCGTTGAGCCCATTCCAGCTGGACGAGCTGCTAAGGACTATCTAAATTTATATGCAACACCAACTCAGCTTGAAGAGGTCTGTAAGCAAAAACCAGCAGATCCTTTTATTTGGCTAGCTGATTGGCAGCTGAAAAATAATCCCAACAAACCTTCTAGCCTCTGCCAAAGAACAGGTCATGAACTGTCCTTCTGCAAAAGTGTGTACGAGACCCTGGATTTGATCCCCATCACCAGAAAGAATGAGGGGGGAGGATGAAAAGAGAATAAAAGAAATTTAACTCTTAAAAATAATATTTAAAACTTTAAGCCAACCTACAGAAAGAGAAAATATTTAGAAATCCTATGTGATAAAGATCTAGTACACAGAACATAAGACAAATAGCTCAATTAAATATGGCAAAAGATGCAAATATCTGAATAAATTTTACTAAAAAGAAATATAGGTAAATGACCAATTGGAATATGAAAGGTAGTCATCATCACTGATCATCAGAACAAATGCAAATCAATACAACACCCAGATACCACTTTGTACCTTCTAAAAGGGATATAATAAAAACCAAAATACACAATGGTAAATATTGGTAATAATATGCAGATAATGAAGCCCTCAATCTATTGAGACTATAAAATGATGCAGCCACTACAGAAAACGTGGCCGTTCCTCAAAAAGTTAAAGAATTACCATGTGACTTAAGGATATGCTAAGTAAAACTTAAAGTATATGTCTCTAAAACTCTACAGCCAGGTGCGGTGGCACACACCTGTAATCCTAGCACCCAGGAAGCCCAGGGAGGAGGATCTCCAGGCATTGAAGGCCAGTCTGGTTCTTTCTTTTTTGGCAGAACCAGGGATTGAACTCAGGCTCTTGTGCTTGCCAGGGAAGCTCTTATTCCACTGAGCCATGTCCCCGGCTCAAGGCGAGTCTGGACCACATGTGAGTTCAAGGCTAGCTGGAGACACATAGTGAGACCCTGTCTCAAAAAAAAAGTGTCTCTACAAAAATTTGTGTGTATTTATAGCATATTCATAATAAACTCAAAAGCTTAAGTTATTTATCTACCAATTAATGATTTTATAAGACAAAGTCTACCAAATTTCATTTTTACTCTTTCATCTAAGAACCATGGACTGCCAAATTTTATTAATAAAGGAGTTATAGCCGGGGAGATGGCTCAGTAGAATAACTGCTTCCCTGGCAAGCACAAGGGCCTGAGTTCAATCCCTGGTTCTGCAAAAAATAAATAAATAAATTAAATAAAATAAAGGAGTTATATGTATTCTCTTGAAATTACATGTAATAAATTTTGGATTTTTATTTTGTTTTAAAGAAGGTCTTACTATTTAGTCAGTCTGGCTACTAGGCAGGCTAGTGCTGGGGGATTATAGGGATGCACCACCACGTCTGGCTACATGTAATAACTTAAGCTTATGTGCATTTCTCTGGAAACAGGATTATCTATAATTTTCAAGTTTGGGTAGAGTAGTACTATGTATTGAACCCAGGGACTTGTGTATGGTAAACAAGTACTATACTACCGAGTTACACCCAGAACTTGTAAAATTATTAAAATTAAGTCACTTTTTTTTTTTCTTGTATTTTAGGGAAGAGTCTACAGGGTATTACTATTAGATCAGACTCGTAGTGATCTGCCTGTTTACAGCCTCCCAAAATCTGGGATTATAGGCAGGTGCCACCATACCCAGTAACAACTGCTGTCTCAGCGCGCCCTTGGGGCGGGGCTGCCACAACAAAAATAAGTCACTTTAACAACAGTTTTAAATATTTATAACTACTTTTGTATAATCCAGTATTCTCTGAAAAATGCCCATTGAGATTATGATGGAAACACTTGTACCACTATATAATGTTCAATCCATCCTAGCTATACAACATAAGCAAATATGTAAAAGTATAAATTGTTTTATTCAATTTAATATTTATTCACCATTCTCTTCTTACTTGAATCGCTAATGTTTCTTGCTGCTGACGGGCTTCTTCTTGGGCCTTCTCTAGTGCTGCACAAAGTTCTTCTTTAGCTTTCACTTCACGACTCAGAGCCGCTTCCTGTGCCTCACTATCCTTTGCAGCATTGGCCTTGTGAAGATCAGTAAGTTCTCTTAAAAATGAGATTGACAGTTTTTACTGAATGCATAGTTAACTATACATGATCAGGTCAATGAAGTTTCCACGTGCCACAGAATCTACCACATTAACAAGCACCAGTTATCATGAAGGACCCTCTTCCTGTTGAACTTGCCTTGACTAGTAATAAGTTCACAGAGAGACAAATTTATAAATGTTGCTAGAGATCAGATACAGAGAACACATTTCTCCAACATCTTAACTGATAACTGATCTAAAATTGGTTGGATGTATGTTTATTTCCTTACTTGTATGCACTATCTAGGGCAGCCTGAATACTTCGATTCTTTTCTTCAAGTTCATCCATGTTTACTTGAAGTCGACCAACATCTTTTTCCTGGTGTTCAACGACAGAATTTAGTTTTTTAATATTTTCTCTATGTTGTTTCTCAATTTCTTCTTTACCATCAAGGACCTGTGTTACAAAAAACAACAAAAACATTTTTAATAAATTACACAATAGTAAATAAGTGTTCCAGGAATCTCAATTATAATAATAATGGAAGAAAAATCTTGACCTACTAAATCATTCAAAAGATTCCTACAACCCATGAAATCATTTCAAATGTTTCATAAGCTACAGCCAAGTGCCAATACAGGAAGTAGTAACAATTTATACACAGAAAATAGTGACTGCCACCCACCTGTTTCAAATGCTGCGACTCCTCCTCTAGTTCCTTAGCTTTTCTATTCAGTTTTGCAATAATGTTCTCATTCTCTCTGTCTTTTGCTCTCAGTTTCTTAATGACATTAGAGTTATGCAGCTGCTGCTTGGAAAGTTTTTCGCCTGGTGACAGTAAGAGAGGGTAAATTCAAATAATAATGATTTCCTAAGAATGTATTTTATTGAACCAGTGTCATGAAATGCAAATTTTGTAGAAACCAATTTGTAAGCCCAATGTTAAAACTGATTTGGACAGGAATCATCAATAAATGCTAAGATTATTACATGAAAGGATATTGGGGACTAGCATTACTCTACATCTTACTTACAAATTATAAAGAAAAACGTACTTTCACGATGAAAAACCTGGCAGTTACTACTGTAACCGAGCACCATGGCACCTCCTGACACTGTGTGCTCTGAGGTGACATAGTGAATCTACAGTATTAACCAGGACATTTCTTACCAAAACTTTGATTTGAATCTAATCATGAAGAAAAGTGGCAAATTTCTCAACATGGGATACTCTGTAGGACAACTTCCCAGGGCTATATATAGTCTTAATGTAATGAAAAAGAAAGAACTATCTCCGAAGTTTGTGAAAATTAAAAGGCCCACAATACTTAAATACAATGTGCAACCTTTAATTAGATCTTGAAGCAGGACAAATGTCCAAATACAAAAAGCATTTTTTGGGCTGGTCTTATAGCTCAGTGGACTAAAGCGCCTGCAAAGGCAGAGCTCAATGGCTGAGCTTCGATCACCGGTGTGCCGCGCCGGCTGAAATGGTGATTGAGACTGGGTGTGGTGGCTCAAGACTGTAATGCCAGCATTTTGGGGTGGTGAAAACAGGAGAATCACAAGTCCAACCTACATAGTAAGACCCTGTAGACCCTGTCCTAAATACAGAAAAAATAAACAAATAATAAAAGGCATTTTTTGAGATAAGTGATAAAGTACGTATATGAATTGTACTACTAAATTACATCTGATCTTCTTAGGTATTGTTTGGTTGCTTTTTCAGTTTTCTGGGGGGTCTCACTATGCAGTTCAGGCTGGCCTTGAGCTTACTTTGCCACTCAGGCTAGTCTTGAACTCTCAGTGATCTTCCTGCCTTAGCCTCCTGAGTGCTGGGATCATAGGCATGCATCACCATGCCTGGTTCTTTTACAGTGATGTATTTGTGAGGGAAGATCTAGACCTGTAACACTAAGGTACCTTTAAATAAAATAGTAGTTGCAAGAATTATTAAGTGAAAAACTTAAAGAAATTCACTTGACAATCTTATTTAAAACCTCATCTAGGCAGCACCTAACTGAGGAGGCAAGGACCAAGACCAAGAGGTTGCTGGGTGGGCACTATGGCCGAGATCACCACCATCGAGGTGGTGAAACACAAGATCCAGGTTCTTCAGCAGCAGGCTGATAATGCAGAGGAGAGGGCCGAACGCCTCAGCAGGAAGCAGAGAGAGAAAGGCGGGCTCAGGAACAGGCTGAAGCAGAGGTAGTAGCCTCCTTGAACTGTAGGACCCAGCTGGTTTAAGAGGAGATGGACTGTGCACAGGAGCACCTGGCCACTGCCTTGCAAAAGCTGGAGGAAGCTGAGAAAACTGCTGATGAGAGAGAGAGGTATGAAGGTTATTGAAAACCGGGCCCTAAAAAAAGAAGAAAAGATGAAGCTTCAGGAAATCCAGCTTAAAGAAGCTAAACACATTGCCAGAGTGGCAGATATGAAGAATGAAGAGGTGGCTCATATGCTGGTGATCATTGAAGGAGATTTGGAATGCACAGAGGAACCAGCTGAGCTGGCAGGGTCCCATTGCCGGGAGATGGATGAGCAGATCAGACTGACAGACGAGAATCTAAAGTGTCTGAGTGCTGTTGAAGAAAAGTACTTTCAAAAAGAAGACAAATATGAGGAAGAAATAAAGATTCTTACTGATAAACGCAAGGAGTGGAGACCCACACTGAGTTTGCTGAGAGATCAGTAGCCAAACTGGAAAACACAATTGATGACTTGGAAGATAAGCTGAAATGCACCCAAGAGGAGCACCTCTGTGCACAAAGGATGCTGGACCAGACTCTGCTTACCTGAATGAGATGCACAGCTCCCCAGTCCTGCCCTCCCCAGTTGCTCCTCCTTGTGACCCCAACACACTGCCTGAGGCCAGCCTGCCCAAAGCTGACCTCAAAATGAGGGCTGATCTTTAACTGAAGGCTGCTTTCTCCTTTCTACATCCTCTCCCCACTCCCTACCCCCACCTCCTTGTCTTTTTCATCAAACTGTCTGCCTCTTCCCAGAGATTCCAGCTGGGCTAGAGGCTGAGCACCTTGGGGAACAAAATTTAAGGGAATTGAGCACAATGCAAAGTGTCTTTAAAAGCATGCTGTTAGTGATTTGATTTGAAACTGTCTCATTGCTATCTGTTTATCAATAAAATTATGAAAAAAATTTTTAAAAAATTTTTAAGGCTATTATAAAAATAAAACAATAAAAGCATGCTGTGATGTACACATTTGTAATAACTTTTAGTTGTAACAAACCACTTGTAAAACATTCCAAATACCTCTGAAGCCACAATCTAATTTCATTCTCACTTTGGAGGGTAATGTCTCAACCTAAGGCATAGTGCTCTCTCCATAGAGGAAGAAAAGAAGTATGGGCCTGCCTTACCAAGAGCCAAACAGTCCAGGGAAAAACTCCACTGTGGAGACCTTACAGCTCTGTACCAAGTACCAGCTAAGCCAGAAAGGTGATTCCAGGAGGAGTTAGCCGAAAGCCAAAACCATGCTGCTCAGGTTTGAGTTTCAACACGTCTTTGGAAAACTTTATATTTTTGTTACTTTTCTCATCAGAAGTGAGTAAAATCAGTAGATTAAAGCACCGCAAGAGGTTCGATTCCTAGGCCTGCCATGCCGCTCCCACCCCCTGGGCACACTGAGACAGCAACTGAGACTGGGCGAGGTGGTATGCTCCTGTAATCCCAGCTCTTAGGAGGCTTGTAAACAGGCGGATCACAACGAGTAGGATCTAGTAGTGAGACCCTGAACACTCTGTAGACCCTTCCCTAAAATATATATATATATAAAAAAAAGTGAGCAAGATATGAAAATGCTTAGACCTCTGAGACTGACTTTTTTTTTTTTTTTTTTTTTTTTGGTGATGCTGGGATTAAACCCATGGAGGGACTCATGCGTGTTAGGCAAGAGCTCTACCACTGAGCCACATCCATGAGACCAAACTTTTGTACTATTTCTACCCCTTTTCCAGCTGTTCATTGAATAATCACATGGCGCTCAATAAGTGTTGAGGTGACCACTTAGTTGCTTTCCTGTCTTTTTGAAAGAAAAGAAAAATGTTTTTGCCACTTATTCAGCCATATGAAATTCATCTCATCCTTTTCTGGGTCTGAAGCTGCTGTCTCTAAAAGTGCCATCTCATTGTGCTTTGTATTAGTCTGTGTTGGAGAAATCTCAAATAGCTTATACACAAAACTTTTAAAATTTTATATTATTTTGAAATTTTGCTTCTTTAGGGTTGGAGTGCATGGCTGCCCCATCTGGCTATGAAGTGTTCTCTCCAGTCTGTGGGCTGGCAGTGTGCTGATCTTTCGAACTTTTTCCCCCCACCCAGTCCCCACTTGAGGTGAGGCTTCTGTGAGGTCTGTTAAGTGCACATCCTGCAGCTTATCGGCTTAAAATGTATGCTCCTTTGTTGTGGTCCCTGGGACCAGTCAGGAAAAAGAAGAACAAGTACCGCAACTGCTTTGATACTAAATATTGACAAGTGTCTTTTTGAAATAAAGAATCAGTCCTTCTAGGGGGCTGGTGAGATGGCTCAGTGGTCTAAAGCACCTACTTAGAACAAGTTTAACTGAAGCTCAGGGACTGCGGTTCAATCCCCCAGCACCACATGCCAGCCAGCCCCGCCCCCTGGTGGGCTGAGCTAGCCACACACACACACACACACAAATTAATTAATTAAAAAAAAAATAAAGTGAGAAGGGATGGGGGCCGGGGAGATGGCTCAGTGGAATAAGAGCTTCCCTGGCAAGCACAAGGGCCTGAGTTCAATCCCTGGTTCCGCAAAAAAAAAAAAAAAATTAATTAAAAAAAAAATAAAACCTCATCTAGGACAGCTGGCCAGATAGTTCAGCAGACCATAGCTCCTGCTTAGACAGAGCACAGTGGCCAGGGTTTGAACCCCAGCCCCTGGGGCGTGCTGAGATGGCCATTAAGACTGGGCGTGGTGGTGTGTGCTTGTAATCCCAGCGCTTGGGAGGCTGAAAATATGAGACTGACTACGAGTCCAATCAACATAATGAGACTCTGTAGACCCTATACCAAATACACTAAAAAACAACAACAAAAAAAAAACCTGATATAGGATATTGCATCAAGAAATCCAATTATTCACTTCAAATGACATACATATCTTTAATTTCTACAACTTTTGTAACTGTAAACCTTTTCAGAAATAAAAGAGCTTATTAATTTAAAACACAAAAGATGAATACAATGAAAAAGTCACTATCAGGCCAGGGAGATACCTCAGTAGAATAAGTGCTTGCCTGGCAAGCACAAGGTCCTGAGTTCAATTCCTAGTAA